CAGTGGAATCTACGCTCTGGGTCGGAGGAAGCAGACAGACCTCGGTTTCCCCCTGTTCATTCCGTCTTGCACAAGGGAATCCAGCCTTGCACACGGGTCAGCACACAGAGGGTTTCTAAGAACTGCGCCATTAGGTAACAGTAAGGCACGGAGTGAGACTCAAGCCCTTGTCGTGGTCCTTATCATTTCCTGCTTGCCCGTGAGTCCAGTTGCAAGGATCATGTAGATATTCTCAGTAAACCTTCCCCTGGTTTTGGTCGTTGAGTGCGTGTGGCTCACGGTGGGTTTCTACAGTGCCAAATGCCATACTACAGGCAACTCTCTGGCACTTCCTTGTTGGAAGCAAAATAGGAAAGATATTTGTGAACTTTCAGAAAAGCACAGGCTCACCATCTTCATTGTCTTTTGTATGCTGTTTGGGAATGAAGGGGAGGGCACAGCAGCTCCCAGGATTTGAGGAGTAGATTGCTTGGGTTCACATCCCGGCCTCCTCCCCGCATGACCCATTCGTGGGTCATGCTAGCCGCGTGACATTGATCAGGTGGGGGGCTTCAGATTCCACGCCTCTGAAGTGAAGAAGGGGCGGCCCTCCCTGCCTGGGGTTTGTGTAAGGATTTGAGAGGCAGCGTGTAGAGAAAACACCTAAGACAGTGTTGCTGTTCCTGTGACGTCAGCGATTCTGTTGGCATTCATTTAGCGTTCCTGCCAGCCGAGGGAAGCCATTTAGCAGAGACACAACCCGTCTCTTCTCCATTCTTTGAGCTCCTCCACTCAGCTTTCCTTTTGACTTTGAGAGCAAGCCCTGGCTTTTCCTACCAGAGATGGCTGGTGAGACCCTCTGTACTTTTCCCCTAACCCCTCATCTGTGTTAAAGATCACTTTGAGGGGAACCCCGAGAAAGACCAGCTTGTCTTATTTCTAAGTAAATGGTTCTTTTGTCTTAAATATTTATTTATTTGAAATGCAGAGAGAGAGAAGGAGAGGCGGAGGTGGAGTCTTCACATGTTATCTTCTTAAACGCTGGGATGGGGCCAGGTCGGAGCCAGGAGCCGGTGGGCAGGAGTACTGGGGCCCCTGCCTTCCCTGGCACAGTGTCCAGGACTGGGACCAGACCCTGAGGTATGAGATGCGGGTGCCCGGTGCTGCAGCTTCATCATGCTGCAGCGCCCAGCCCACAAAGTGGTCTTGTGAAAACATTTACCAGATATAGCACCAGCAATTATGTTATCCAACGGTTATTGTTGGTCCCTGGAGTCCACCCACCAACACATTTCCACAGTCGCCTCTGTGCCTGGGATGGAGTTCCCTGAGCAGACCCATTGCCCGCTGGCATCATTGCCAAGGACCAGTTTTCAGAGTCTTTAGAAGTGATCTGTATTAATCCTCGCATTGAGGTGGCCAGACCTGTTCTTCTTTTTCAGCTTTACTTTTATGTTGCTATGATATTAATACAAAGAGAACAGATTCATTGTAGTTCAGAAATACAGTTCTAAGAATATAATGACAGGGGCTGGTGTTGTGACATTAGCAGGTACAGCCACCACCTATGACACTGACATCCCGTACAGGCACCGGTTTGAGACCAGGCTGCTTTACTTCTGATCCAGCTCCCTGCTCATAGCCTAGAAAGCAGCAGAGGATGGCCCAAGTGCTTGGACCCCTGCACGCATGTGGGAGACCTGGAAGAAGCTCCTGGCTCCTGATTTTGGACTGGCCAGTGCTGGCTGTTACAGCCATTTGGGGAGTGAACCAGTGGATGAGCACTCTCTCTTTCTCTCTCTCTCTCTGTCCATCTGTAACTCTGCCTTTCAAATTAAAAAAAAAAAAATTACCTTGGCTTCCAGGTGAAAAGCGCAGGCTGGCTTTCAGCTTGCTTCTGTCTCCCTGATGTATTCAGTGAGGGTCAAATAAGTCACCTACAGTGTTTGCATGTGGGGCTGGCGTGAACAGCCCTGCCCTCAATGTCTGTGCAGTCTTAATTGATGACTGACACCTGGGGTGCATGCGCCTCAGAGCAGGGGTCATTCACTACCAGGAATAAAGCTTTCAGAATCTGCAGACAAGTGCAGCACCCTGGTGGATCTTTGGGGTTTAAAAGACCATTCCCTTTGAAAAGCAGTGGAGACAGCTGCCTGAAACAGCTGGGTAGTCTCGAGCAAGCTGTTGGAGGGACATTTTGAAGCCTCTGTTTCCTTACCTATCAGAGGAGCGTAACTTAGTATCATGCAAAAAATAATGGAAGCGTAGCAAGGATGAGATGAGAATGAAGTGATGCCCTCTGGACCTAGCCCCTCGGAATGCTCAAAATGAATTGCCAATATTGATGTTTTATTCCAACGATCATGTAAAGGCAAAGAGGGTTGGGATTGGCACAAGTTTGCAGATGTAAAGTGACCGACGCTAACCAAGCAGCCTGCTTCAGCGCCAGGTGCAGCGGGAACACGTGTCTCTTCTTCGTAACCTCTCTCAGATGGGATATGGAGGGGAAGGCTCAGAGCAGAACTTGGCTGCATCGTCGCACTCTTACAGGATTAGCCTTCATCTTTGCTCTCTGTTTAAACTTTTAGGGGATAGGAAAATTATTTTTAGGGCCTGACCAGGAAGTCTCTTTGTCCTAGTAAAAAGTAATGGTTTGAATTCAATAGGACCAGACCTGGTGTCAGACATGCCCAAAGCCGGAGATGTCGTTCAGTTATTTCCAGTCCTGTAAGTGGATCCATGGGCTTCCCACAGGAAACCACACGAACGTGTCATTTGTTAAGATGCAACTGCTGCAGTAGACCTTATGTACCGACAGTGTGAATGTGCAAACCTGTGGGAGTGCAGGGTTGGCACTGGGAGAGAGCTCGTGGCTCAGGGATGCCACATCCCATACCAGAGTGCCAGGTTCAAATCCCGGCTCCTCCACATCTCATCCAGCTTCCTGCTAATGCCTGGCCTGAGGAGGCAGCATTGACTGGCTCATGGACCTGGGCTCCTGCCTTTGGTCTGACCTGGCACAGCACCAGCTGCTCTAGGTATTTGGAGCATGGACCAGCAGCTGGAAGATACCTCCCTCTATCTGCCTGTCTGTTTTTGTAAAAGAAACAGTTTTTCACAATCTGGTGCTGGAAGAGCAGAGAGCTTGTCATCGTGGAAATCATTCTAAGACTGGATTCTGGATCTGTGCTCCCGGCTGTTTTAGTATCAGCTGAGAGTGGCCACTCAGTCAGGCAGCCGTGTGAAGGAGGGGTGAGCAATAGTGCTTCCCCTACTTAGAAGTGTTTCCTAAGTCTCAGCAGAGAAACACTCCAGAATCTTTAACCTTCAATTTTGAAATCACTTCAGACAGACTTACAGGAAAATTGCAAAAAAAAAAACCTAGGACAAAGAGATGTCGGCGCTCTGCTCAGTCCACGGTCACGTTGGGCTTACGTCCCAGCCCTCTCCGTCTTGTCTAGCCCCAAGCACACAGGCACGTGTGCGCACCTGTATACGCAGGTGCGTGCAGGTATGCCTCTTTCCTTCTCAGTGATTTGTGTCTTGATTGCTGAGGTCCCCGGCCTTTATCTCTGGATACTTCTATGTGTATTTCCCAAGGACAAGGCTATCCATTACACAAGCAGAATGCAATGATGAAACCCAGGTGCCTCCCCCGACGCCACGCTCACCCAACCCAGGCATCGCTGGCGTCCCATTCCGGGCTCTTAGGGTCAGCGCAGTGACAGGTGGGACTAGATGCAATCCAGGATCACCTCGCATATTAGATTTAATTTATTTCCTCAGAAAATATCTTTAAGAGATCTCAAAATATCACGACTAGGAAATCTTTCTTTCAGAGGATATGTTTTTTTGACCCTCCAACAAGAAGGAACATTGGAAAAATTAGGTCAAAACAAAATCTGAAATGTTTGGTTGCACTTACAGGTAGGGGATGTAGCTTATGCAGATTGGGACATATAAACAGTGAGGTGCAAGTAGGTAAGTGGTCTTCAAAAAGTTAGTAGAAATGCATTTTATGAAATAATCTGTGGGTCTGTTGTGGTAGCCTAGTGGCTAAAGTCTTCACCTTGCATTCACCAGAATCCCATATGGGCACCTGTTGGTGTTCCGGTGGCCCCACTTCCCATCCAGCTCCCTGCTTGTGGCCTGAGAAAGCAGTCAAGGACAGCCCAAAGCCTTGAAACCCTGCACCCATGTGGGAGACCCAGAAGAGGCTCTGGGCTGCTGGCTTCAGATCAGCTCAGCTCCAGCTGCTATGGCTGCTTGGGGAGTGAACCAGCAGATGGAAGATCTTTTCTCTCTGTCTCTCCTTCTCTATAAATCTGCCTTACCAATAAAACTAAAACTTAAAAAGAAACAGTTTTTTAAAAGAAGAAATAATTGATTTTTAGTTTGCAGCAAAAATAAATTTTAAATTCCATTTTCCATGAATTTTTAAAAGAGCCCTCATATTTAATTACATGATAGTAGCAAGTAAGGCATTATTAGGGAAGATTTACTCTTGTTGAAATTTTGTTAAGAACTCTGAGTCTTTAAGAAAAAGTTTTATTGAATTGAAAGATTACAGAGAGCAGAGGAGCAGAAAGAGAAAGCTCTTCCAGCCACCGGCTTACGCTCGATGCCTGCAACAGCCAGGGCTGATCCGTGCCAAAGCCAGGAACCAGGATTTTCTCCAGAGTCTCTCACGTGGGTGGTGGAGGCCCAAGGACTTGTGCGGGTTTTTTTTTTTTTTTTTTTTTTTTCCAGGTACATAAGCAGGAAGCTGGATGGGATGTGGAACAGCCAGCCGGGACTTGAACCTGCATCCCTTTGGGGTGCCAGCACTGCAGGCTGCAACCTAACTTGTTGTTTTATAGCATCAGCCCCTCGAGTGTGTCTCAGTGCGGCTGCAAGTTGGTTGCTTGGTAATGAGTTATGACTTGTCTGTCCTAGCACCGCCACAGAGTGGCCAGAGTCCACAAGCAGGTGTTGTGTGTCTCTTGGGACGGTGGCTGCAGTGACCACGCTTTCTTTGACAGATGTGGTGTTGGAGAAGGCCATGCACAAGTGCATCCTGAAGCCCCTGAAGGGGCACGTGGAGGCCATGCTCAAGGACTTCCACATGGCTGACGGCTCCTGGAAGCAGCTCAAGGAGAACCTGCAGCTTGTGCGGCAGCGGAACCCACAGGAGCTGGGGGTCTTCGCCCCCACCCCCGACTTGGTGGACGTAGAGAAAATCAAGCTCAAGTTCATGACCATGCAGAAGATGTATTCTCCGGAGAAGAAAGTCATGCTGCTGCTGAGGGTCTGCAAGCTCATTTACACCGTCATGGAGAGCAACTCAGGTGAGACTGCACAGCTGGGACTCCTGGGCGCTCCTTGCCAGGACCGAGGGCCTGACCGTCGCACCCCTGCTCCTGGTCAGGGCTGGGCACAGGGCCTGACCGTCTCACCCCTGCTCCTGGTCAGGGCCGGGCACAGGGCCCAACCATCTCACCCCTGCTCCTGGTCAGGGCCGGGCACAGGGCCTGACCGTCTCACCCCTGCTCCTGGTCAGGGCTGGGGACAGGGCCCAACCATCTCACCCCTGCTCCTGGTCAGGGCCAGGGACAAGACTTGACCATCTCACCCCTGCTCCTGGTCAGGGCCGGGCACAGGGCCTGACCGTCTCACCCCTGCTCCTGGTCAGGGCCTGACCCATCTCCACTCTGCTCCTTGCCAGGACTCCTCCCTTCCTTCTCTTGCGGTCGTAAATGCTACCCTGATATCTGGCACATGAGTCACATGCATCAGATCACCACATGGTGTTTGTACAATAATGATTTAATTAGAGATTTACGCCAAGCTTTGTTTTCATTGAAAGGTGAAGTGACACAGAGATCTTCTACCTGTTGGTTCATTCCAACGCAGCCAGGCCTGGGCCAGGCTGAAGCCAGGAGCCAGGAAGTCCATCTGTGTGTCCCATGTGGGTGGCCTAAGTACCTGGGCCTTTTTCCATTGCATTCCCACTTGTGTGAGTAGAGAGCTGCATTGGAAGTGGAGCAGCTGGGAGGCTAGGGTTCACAAATGCAGGCTTAATCCCGTGAACCACGCAACATTGGCCCCTCATTGAAGATTTGGGTCAGAGTTATAAGCTCAGCCTCTGGAATCTGCATTCAGTTCCTCTGCCAAGGGGCCGGGAGTCTAGTGTAGGGGTTAGAATGCTGGTTTAAGATGCATGTGGCTCATGTTGGAGGTGCCTTGATTGCAGTCCCAGCTCCAGCACCCAGTCCCAGCTTCCTGTGTATAGCCCGAAAGACATGGTGACAGCAAGTAGTCAGATTTCTGCCATACACACACACATGGGGTAGAGGGGCTGGATTAAGTTCCTGGTACCGAGCTTTCGCCCCAGACCACAACTGTGGCATTTGGTGGGACTGAATCAATAAATATCCAGGTTTCTCTCTGCCTCTCAGACGACAGAGTTCATTAACTGAGCAACTTTGACCGCCTCACCCCACCTTCTGTGCCACAGTTAATATGAGTTCATAGGAGCCCTTCTTCAGGCAGGGAAGCTCATGTATAGCCCAGGCACAATGGAAAATCCATGTGGGCAGGGAGGGTCTGGGCCAGTGGTCCACAGTTAGAACCACTGGGTCAATGCGTTCTTTGATGAATGCCACCGTTGGGAAGTCAGCCCTCGGGTTTCCCCCGGCAGCTTCCTGTGGATGCAGGAGTGAGGGTGACTTGAGTCCTGTCGGTGATGCTCTGCCTCTGTGAGTGCAGTGGCTTAGTGGGAGCTACCAGAGAGAGAATGCAGGGGCTGTGTTAACCGTTGCCCAGGGAGGAAGGAATGGGGGTGTGTGTGACACATGGTTGAGTGCTGAGATGAAAGTCTGGGTGCTTGGGGTGTAAGCTTTGCCCGGAGGTGTGCTGGCATGTCCTGCATACAGGAAATACTTGTTCATGGAGTCATTTCTGGAAAGTCCCAAACTACCAGTATCTGCATATGCCACCTACGGGAAATACTTGCTTTGTAGTCACGGAATCACTTGGAGAGTCTCAGACTGGTGTCTGTGCATGTTCGTGTTGTTCTGAATTACGGTTTTTCAACCTGTGTGCTCATGGCCTGGGAGGCAGTGGACGCTCGGGTGTGGGGGCTGGCCTGCTTCCTGTGAGAAGTCCAGCAGCGTCCCAGATGCCATTCACTCCCTCTTTCTCCTGTTGGGACAACAAAACTATCCCAACACGGAACAGCATATGTCCTGGGCATGGAACAGGTGGTAGAGGATCCGCCTGGTCCAGCGCCAGCATTGGAAGGAATACTGGAATTAGGGGTTAAGCTGACATTCCACCTTACGAGCTGTCCTTCCTCACGGTGTGTGCACTTTGTGTTTAAAGACCCTTTTACTCCCAGTCTAGCCATCCTGATTCATGTGCAAAGACAATAGGGAACATGACACAAAAGTGAACACACGTAAATATTTTCCAGGTGTCCTGTGAAGTTAAAATATTTCAAAGATGCTACTTGATGGCATATGCTGATGCAGGACACAGAAGTGTCATCTGCCAGGAGAATTCTGTCCTGTGGGCAGAGGAGCTGGGAGGCACACGGGCTGCATCCGCAGGCTTCCTCTGTTTATAAATAGTGGCTCTTGGCTGTCTAAAAAACAAAAGCAATGAGTAGGACATGAAAGAAAGGAAACTTGGTGAAAATATTCCCGCCTCCCCGCAGGGAGGATGTACGGCGCTGATGACTTCCTGCCGGTCCTGACCTACGTCATTGCCCAGTGCGACATGCTGGAGCTGGACACGGAGATCGAGTACATGATGGAGCTTCTGGACCCCTCGCTGCTGCACGGAGAAGGTACCGTGGGCGTGGGGGCGCAGAGCACAGTCCCCATCACAGGAAATAGATGCTGTTAAGATGAGAAATCCAGCGGTCCTGTAGGACATTCCCAATGGGGTGCAAGCCTGTGTTGGGCTCCAAAACATTTGTCGAACCCCCACATAGCATCCTACGCCCATGAAGCAGTTAGCACCTGCTGGCATCTGAAGTCTACATGTAAATTTTTTGCCAAGCCTGTATTTTTGAATTATTATATTTAGTCACTGTAATGCATTGAAAAAGTCATCCATGTCCATGGTAGGTTCTTTTGAAAAGTCAGAAAGACACACAGTCAGATGGCGCTCTGTGTAACTGTACTTCACCAAGATGCATTCATGGCAATAAGAAGATGCCAATAAGAAAGCAAATAGAATGAATTCCCTTAAAAAATATCATGTCATTGAGTCTAAGGGGGACGTTGTATTTTTGGTAGAAAATATATCTGTTGCTCTTGGATGGAGATTTTTTTTTTTTGCTTTGAAGATTAAACTGTTCATTTTTTGTTAAGATTTATTTTATTTATTTGAAAGAGAGAAGAGACAGAATCTTCCATCTGCTAGTTCGTTTCCCAAATGGCTGCAATAGCCAGAGCTAGTCCTGTGTGAAGCCAGGAGCTTCTTCTGGTTCTCCCACTCCGGGTGCACTGGGCAGGTGGCCAACTCTAACCTGCACGTGTCCTCGGGGGAAAAAGACAAAGACACATTTAGGGAGCGTTTGAAGGCACTTGAGAAAGTGCATGGGAAAATGCAACTGAACACTTATTTGCACCAAAGTGAATTTGAAATGCGTGCCTGGAGTTGTCCTGCTTTGTATTTGTCGGGAGCTGTTTCAAGAGCCCCGGGGCTTGTGCCTGACCGTAAGCCTGTCGCCACTCACCCGTGTCCTGGCTGAGTGGGCTGCAGTTCTTGCTGAGCTGTGCAGACAGCCAGAATCAGCAGCCACAGGTCATGGGCCACGCCCCCCCAGCCCACAAACAGCAAAAGTGTTGGTGGTGGAGTTCATGCGAGTTTGCAGAGCACCCTGCTGATGGTTGAGATGGAGGAGACAACAGCAGGCTTGAGTATGGCCATGGAGAGGGTTCTTAACTCATCCAACCCACGGCCGACTTGCAGGTCCCCGTAGCCAGCGTCTGTTGTTTTCCTTCATACATGTATTAAGGAGACCAACACGCAGATTGTTTCTTTCAGCATCACCCCTGTTGTGGACTCACTGAGGCTCATGCTGGAAACGCAATGGGTAGTGAATCCTGGCAAAAATGGGAATTGAATCCTTGACAAAGAAATGACTCTCAGTGTCTACATTTGGGGCGCCCCCTGGTGGCTGTGTATCCCTGCGCACTGCCACCACTCCATCAGACTCCTGATTATATACACATGGATATTTCAAAAAAATATTCATGGGAAAATGGAATTTAGTTTATATTGGTGCCAAAAAAAATACAATTGTACATAGCAGGAAGTATTCAAAAAGTCTGTTGTGGGCCTGGTACAGTAGCCTAGTGGCTAAGGTCCTTGCTTTGCATTGGCTGGGATACCATATGGGTGCCAATCCATGTCCCAGCTGCTCCACTTCCCATCCAGCTCCCTGCCTGTGTCATGTTGTATAGTATAATACAGTATAGTGCAGTATGGTATAGAGGAAGATTACATAGGTTGTCTGCAAACACAGCTCCGTTTTACGTGAGAGACTTGGGCATCTGTGGGTTTAGGTGCCACAGGGAATCCTGGAAGCCTCCCTGGTGGAGCACCATGATGCAGCCTGGCTCAGGGTGGCTCTCAGAACTCACTCGTCTCTCCTTTTCCAGGAGGTTATTACTTGACGAGCGCCTACGGGGCACTCTCCCTCATCAAGAATTTCCAGGAGGAGCAGGCAGCACGACTCCTCAGCTCAGAGACCAGGGACACACTGCGACAGTGGCACAAACGCAGGACCACCAACCGCACCGTCCCGTCTGTGGATGACTTCCAGGTACGTCCACGCGCTCCCTCCCTGCCCCTGCCGCTTCCCCGTGCGCCGTCCCACCGCAGCACGCCTCGGCTCGGGGTCCAAGGCCAGCCGCAACCGAATCATCCTGATAGGACAAAAAAGCAAATGTTTTCACCCACGCTCTGACCTTATTGTTTCACTTCTCTGTTTCCGAGGTGTGCGTCAACTTACAATGATTCTATCTCCCCAAGCGTGCTTATTTATTTGTTTATAAAAGAGGACCAGGGATTTGCTTCACCCTCTGAGCACCCATAGCAGCAGTGGACGGGGGTAGGGTGCAGAGGGCAGGGGGCAAGGGGCAAGCTGCAACCAGGTACTCAGTCTGGATCCCCATGGTGATGGCAGGGTCCTCTTGCCTCCCACGGCGACACCAGCAAGGGAAACGGAATTGGCAGTGGAACTGGAACTGGAACCCAGGCATTCCAGTGTGGAATTGTAAACTAAGAATATTGTATTGGAAAAAACAATTGTATCCCCCTAACTTGTGCAGTTTCCAAGCTCGGCAGCACGTGGTGCTGGGGGGCACCAAGAGGGGCAGAGGAAGAGGGATTCTTCTCTTGGCTATAGACATGGCTGTTCCTTCCTTGCCCAGCACCACCATAGAAAGCAGATAATGCTAACCTGGGAAAAAGTCAAAACTTTCAAAAAGTTTGAAGCCGGATTTCTATGGGATGCGTATCGCTTTCATACCACCAAAAAGTATCATGCATCAAGCCACATCATACATAGGGGTCATCTTCACATATGCACGTATTTATATACATGAACCTGTGCACATATAGGTATGTGCATTTGAATCTGAGTTTGGCCCAAGTTCTGCCACCGTTAAGTCACATTCAGGCAGGATGCGGAGACCTGAGCAGACAGGAAGTAGGGAAGGAGGCGGAAGCATCTGACCCAGGTGTATTCAGGAAACGGCAACGGGACGCAGTGCAAAGCCTTGTATCTCTGGGAAAAGGGGGAGCCATAGCGACGCTGCTGCCTACTCCCTAGCAGGGTGGGCGTTCCAGAACCTCCAGAGCCCCCAGAGCAGCAGCTACAGCAGGCGATCGGGCACCACCACCCCGGTGGGTCCTGCGCGTCTCCTGAGGTTGGAGCTCTCAGGAGCCTGAGCTGCTGCCGCCAGCGTGGCAGTTCCAGTTGGTGTCCCTGGAGGAGAGGCAGGTTAGAGCGCAGGGTGACCTCTGCCAAGAGTGGTTCCTGCGCCAAGATCTCACCCGAATCCGCCTTGTGGGTCTTGGCGTACCGTTTTGCAGGTTGCAATCTACATGACTAAACCTGCTTGTCTGTGCTTTAAATGGGGAATTAGGAATGGCAGGTGGATATATCTGTGTCCATATTCATCTTCCTGTACCCCTCCTTTTTTTCCCACGCCTTTTTTTTTTTAAAGATTTATCTATTTTTTTATTTGAAAAGTCAGATTTACAGAGAGAAGGAGCTATAGAGAGAAAGATCTTCCATGTTCTGGGTCACTCCCTAAGTGGCTGCAATGGCCAGAGGTGAGCTGATGTGGAGCCAGGAGCTTCTTTCAGGTCTCCCTTGTGGGTTCAGGGTCCCAAAGCTTTGGGCCACCCTCCACTGTCCTTGCAGGCCACAAGCAGGGAGAAGGACGGCAAGTGAACAGCTGGGACATGAACCAGCACCCATATAGGATCCAGGAGCATGTAAGACGAGGACTTGAGCCACTAGGCTACTGTGCTGGATCCTTTCCCTTGCCCTTTTAGTGCTCTGAAAGTAATCAATAATCAGTTCAAAATCAGCCCATGATTGAAAGGCATGAAAGGCACGATCGACATGTTCTCCAAGAGCTCGACATGCTCAGATTGAAATCTCTTCCCAGACACAGGACATGCACCGTCTCTCTCCACACCGCCAGCCCCGGTCCTTGATGAGCACACCCCGTGCTAAGAGATTGAACGTGGGCAGCCATTGGGTCCTCTCCCTCGGCTCCCCAAGCAGCGGGTCCTAACACCCTCCCCCTCAGGAGCAGGTGGTAGATGGGAGGAGAGCAGCATTCCCCGTGGCCTCTCTCCATCTGCAGCTTCCGGCACAGTGTCCCCAACCTTCACACGGCTTCCTCGTGCACACGGCTAACCTTGGGGACGTGCAACTCGTCCGCACGTAACCCAAGAGGGAAATTCCCAGCACTCAGCTCAGGCGTGGAAACAGAAACTGACACACGTCCGAGCTCCGCCTGGCACCTGTGATGAGGTCCCAGGCACAGGTGTCCCCACCGCTGGAAGGGGCCACTGCACAGTGGTTACGGCAGGAGGACACCCACCCTGCCAAGTTCTGGCTGCCAGACTCCCTCTGCCTCTGTCCCTGCGCCATGCCGACAAGGCCCTCTCCCAGGCCACGAGCCAGGCAGGCATCCATCGGAACGGGCGTGAACCGTGTCATGTGTGTTCGGAGTGCGTCGTTCTTCCCAAGAGCATTCCCTTCTGGGATTCCCATGGGCGTCATTTCCCCCCACTGCTGAGTTGTCAGGGTTAGAGAACAGCTTTTGGGGCACATCCCCCAAACCCTGTGTACTGGACACTTGGTCCCCAATGTCTCATGTTAATGGTCAGTAGGTTGAAGATGGAGATTTGATTGGCAGGTCCTTTCTTGGGTCACGGGGGGCAAGGCAGGTGGTCCTTACATGCGGGGCTGGTTCCTGGGGCCAGGCTGGGCCTGCTGGGCATCTCCTGGGGTCCTCTGGGCTCTCGGGGCCTGGTCTGGGACTGGAAGCCTCCCAAGCCTGCCTTCCTGTATAGGTCTTCTCAGATAAATGTCACAAAAACAGAAAGTTCGCACAGCAGATTGGGAACAAGTCATGTGTGTGCATGTATTTATATATGTACTCATGACTGATTGACTTAAAAGGCAGAGTTACGGGACAACATGGTGGCTTAGCAGGCCAAGCTTCCACCATGGTTCACTGTATTTCCCAGAGGTGCACATCTGGCACCGTCCCAGGGCCACACCTGCAGCTGGCTTCTGTTACTTCTATCCAGCACCACCTTGCACTTCCTTGCTTCATCTCCAAAGTCACTGGGGGCAGAATCCAGTCTCCTCCATCCAACTGGCTCTGTGCAGCACCCGGGGGCACCTGGGACCTTATATTGGATTGAAACCCCTGTCGTCACCATTCAGGGAGATCCTAAACGATCAACTCTCGACGGTTCCTCATGTCAGTCATTACTACCCATGATCAAGAAGATGTGTCAGAAGGGAACACAGTGCACGCTGTTGTGTCAACATACATGTTTAAAGAGCTATTTGAAAAGCAGAGTGACAGAGACCAGCTGACGGATCCACTAGCTCGTTCCCCAAGTGGCCACAGCATCCAGCTTTGAGTCAGGCCAAGGCCAGAGGCGGGAGCTGCGTCCTGTGTCCCCTGTGGGTAGGGGCCAAAGCCCAGAGGCTCTCTTCAACTGCCTTCCCAGATGTGTTCGCAGGGAGCCAACAGGGAGCAAACCCACGCTCCCAGTGCCACAGACAAACCTTACCCTGCTATGCCTCCACTCTGGCCCCTGGGTCAGCATATTTTAATTCTCTCTCCTGATTCTTGGCTCAAGCCATTCTGCTGTTTGGTTTTCTTTTTCTTTTTCAAGATGTATTTATTTTTATTGGAAAGTCAGATATACAAAGAGGAGGAGAGACGGAGAGGAAGATCTTCCATTCGCTCATTTGCTCCCCAAATGGCTACAATGGCCCGGGTTGGGTCATTCAGGAGCCAGGAGCTTCTTCCAGGTCTCCCACACAGGTGCAGGGTCCCAAGGCTTTGGCCCGTCCTCGACTGCTTTCCCAGGTCACAAGCAGGGAACTGGATGGGAAGTGGAGCAGCTGGGACACAAACTGGCATTCAAATGGGATCCCGTCGCATGCGAGGCATGGGCTTTAGCCACTAGGCTGCTGTGCCAAGCCCTGGTCTTATTTTTCATGCTGAGAGTAAATATGATAAATATGGTTCACACTTTTAAGCAGGGATTTGTTGTTTTCAAAAAATTTTATTTGAAAGGCAGAATTAAAGAGAGGTCTTCACTCTGCTGATTCACTCCCCAAATGGCCGCAGTGGCCAGAACTAGGCCAGTCTGAAGTCAGGTGCTTCTTCCAGGTCTCCTACAAGGGTGCAGGGCCCCAAACACTTGGGCTGTCCTCCTCTACTTTCCAGGGCCATAAGTAGGAAGCTGAATTGGAAGTGGAGCAGCCAGGATTTGAACCATTGCCCACATGGAATGCCAGCACTGCAGCCCAAGGCTTAATGGGCTACGCCTTGGGGCTGGGACTGAAGGGATTTGCTGCCTCCCACATTTGATGTGAGCTGACGACGTGGCCGCTTCATCCACAGAGCTGTCCTCCCCCTGCCTAGAAACAGATCAGCCTCTCTCCTTGCCGCTTTCCAGTGTCGTGGTGCAGTGCCTCCCGAGGGGCACTCACACTTGCCCCTCTGCCGGGATATCTTGGCTGATCTTGTTTCTGGTGTGTCTCTCTTCCCAATCTCTCCTTCTCTCTCCCTGCCTGCAGAATTACCTCCGCGTCGCCTTCCAGGAGGTCAACAGCGGCTGCACGGGGAAGACCCTCCTCGTGAGGCCGTACATTACCACTGAGGATGTGTGTCAGCTGTGTGCAGAGAAGTTCAAGGTGGGGGAGCCTGAGGAATACAGCCTCTTTCTCTTCGTGGACGAGACGTGGCAGCAGCTGGCAGAGGACACGTACCCTCAGAGGATCAAGGCCGAGCTGCACAGCCGGCCACAGCCCCACGTCTTCCACTTCGTCTACAGACGCATCAAGAGCGACCCTTATGGCGTGACCTTCCACAGTGGGGAGGAAGAACCCACGCCCTCTTAGAAGGCACGCGAGACAACCCATTGGTGCATCCAACGGGGCGGGAGTGCGGCTGGGAGCGTGGCCTTCCGGCTGCCCCATGCTCAATCTTGACAAACAGTCCCCTCCTTGGGGACCCCTCAGTTCAGCAATGAAGCCATCCACAGCTGACCACTGCCCAGGCAGCATGGCTGAGGGTCGTGAAACTGTAGGATTCCCCCTCTAAGGTGCAGCGTCACCGTTAGTGGTGTCAGGTGTGTTCAGATTGACACCTGCCCCAGCCAGGCCCAGAACTGGTTGCCTTCTGTCTTTGTGTATGTGCTGAATAAAATGTAAGGCACAAACTCTCTTCTTGACTTCAACAGCAGGTGTTCAACAGCAGGCTGGCCCGTGCAGTGGCTCAGGTACTGTCTCAGTTATGTGGATGGCTCCATCCTGTCTTTTTTTTTTTTTTTTTTTTTACAAAGAGCCTTTGTGTTTTTATATATTTCATAGAAATTTTTTTATAGCAGTTGCAGGTAAACTGTCAGGATCGGTTTTTAAAATATTTTTGTAACTTTATAATTATGCATGTGATTTTAACATTTTAATATCGCAAAGGAATCTCTTGCTGGATTTGAGAGAATTGCATCTTCCCGGTGTGTCTTCTGTAACTGGATGTCTAGGTGACTTTACAGAGAGACCCCGTTGGATTTCTTACAGCGACGTCTTCCTGACACTGGCCACAGCATGCCTTTGGAAACCTTCTGTACTGTCACCTTGTTCGTGTTTAGTGATGTTGTGCGGCTCTGTGTGTTAGACAAGTGGCCCTGAGAACCAAGAATGAAATGAATGTAGAGGCAGGTGGAGAGAGTTATAGACCCTAAGAGAGGGGATGGAGGAATGTGGTCTGCTGGTCCAGGCTCTTTGAGGGACACAGGGAAAGGAGCAGGAAGGACCCCCACCCCTGTAAATAGGCGATGCCATTCTGGCAAAATTGATTCCACATATTATCTGCTTCTGGAAACTTTTGAAAAACTCTACCAAAAAAAAAAAACACTCCCCACCCTCCCCTGTTTGCATATAAAGTGAAACTGACAGTGTGAAATGATTTGGGGCAGAAATTAAACATAGTGTATAATGTGGCTTTTGTTGAGTTTAAAAAAAAGAGAAGAGTTTGAAGATGCACCCAGAAACTGTCTGCATTGCAAGAATGCACAGTCAAGTTAGGTTTATGTCTCACGAGGCCGGGTCGCAGGGATGTGCCTGGCAGGCCCCTTGCATTGCGCACCACAGGTAGTGATCAAAACTTGACATTGTGCTGTGTGCAGAGTCAAAGGCCTCCGGTTGGGTTGGCATTGTTCCTTGTACTTTCAGTGGCCTTGGCTTTTGTCCTGGAAACCCTCAGCCCATACTGTGTTATACTTCCTTTTGTACATGACTTTTTTAAAAATGGGATTTTGCACATACTACATTGTAATACTGTACGATAATCCTGTGTGAAGACAATTTCTTTTTTTTTTTTGAAATATTCTTTGGTTGTCTCTCACTTTTGTTGGAGTTGGGGCGTGAATAGGCACCGTACCAGGTCATATAAATCTGAAACAGGTGGTTTGTGATGGGATGGGCTCACAGTTTCTAGACAGCTAAGGATCTGGTTGGGGGGAAGACATGCACATTAAGACACAGGTGGAAAGATCTTGCGTGGAGTGGAAGGAAGAGTTACTGAGAGCACTTCTTGGTTTTGTTGGGCTGGAGCAGAACACATGAAATCTGGAAGCAGCCAGGACCCTGCAGAAGTCTCCGCCCTGTCCTCAGACAACCTCGGTGATGTCCTGGCCCCGAGTTCACGCTTGCAAAATCCATGGGGCAGCCAGACTCCATCTTCCCCCTTGCGTTGCCCGTGCTTGGAGCCATGCTTGGCACGTAACAGGTACATGATGTGCTAAGGGAAACTCCAGGGTAAGAAGGCCCTTCAATTCGCAAGTCAGCGGATCTGCAGAAGGTCCACAGGCAGGCTGCATGGGCTTCGCCCGCTGGCGTGAGTTTGGATGTGGCACGGCTCGGTCCACAAGCTTGTCGTCTCCCACTTGCCCCTGGAGGAAGCAGTCATGCCATCCTGGTGCTTCAAAAATAGGACTGCCGTGGGCTGAGAGCAACATCAGCAGGTGCCCACTGGCTCTGGGGTGAGGCAGAGCACCAGGAAACATCACCAGACAGTCCCTGGTTCTGCCATTGGGCAATGCGGGCCTGTCAGAATTACAACATAGCATATGGCTTCATTTTTTTTTCCCCCCACGCAGGCATTTCTCACTTCTGCAATTTCCAGGAAGCAGACTTCAGCAAGACTTGGATACAAAGAGAGGAGAATAAAAATATACAGGCCTTTGGGGGCGGGGAGCCGAGAAGGCATTTCCACCTCTAAAAATATGTTCAGTGCTGGCCAGAGGAAGCATTTTTGTGCTTTTGATGTTGTGTTCCTTGCCAAATATTCCTTCCCCCAACTCTGGTACCCCAGGCACAGAAACAGAGGCCGTGACTGCAGTGGTGTCACATGCCAGTTGACATCAATAGGACACAGAGGAAAGGAGCTCCATTTAGAAGCATGGCTGTCCCTCCCCTCTAGCTCCCACCTTCCTCTGCAGAGAGAGACCTGACCTGACCCAGCACCCTGGTGTCTAACCTGCAGCGTGGTTGCTCTAAAACAAAACAAATTTTGACAGAAGAGGCCTCCTGGGACAGAGGCAGCCCATGTCCAAGCATGGTTTTACATTCCGGCTGCTCCATTCCCTAAGCAGCTCCCTGCTCATGCCTTTGGGAAGGCAGTGGAAGATGGCCCAGGTGCTTGGGCCCCTGCCACCCAGCTGGGGACCCAGATGAGTTCATTACTCCTGGCTTCAGCCTAGCCCAGCTCCAGCTGTCGTGGCCACTTGGGAAGTGGACCAGTAGACAGGAAGAGCCACAAGAGCCACAGGAAGAGCAACAAGAGCTTCATCCTTGTTGCTGTGGCTGGTGGTGATGTGTGGGTGTGTTTCTGCATGTGGATATTTATATGTGTGTGCATGTACATCATGTGAGCGCACACATGTGCAACATGTATACTGTAGATGTGTGGTTTGTGTATGTGTGTTGTGTGTGCATGTGTGTGTGTTTTGAATATGCAAATGATTGTGTGTGTGTATGTTATATATGTGTGTGAAAGCTGGGGGTGTCCTGCTCCCATGGGGTTCCTTACTGGCCAGAGCTTTCACAGGGGCCCTCTACCCAGTGGAGATTTCTGCCAAAAAGAGGGGTAAAGAGAGGAGGGTTGCCTGAATTCCTAGTCACGCTGAGCTCTGCGGAGGGCTCACCCCTGCACCTCCTCCCCACCCCTCCACCCCCACCCCCCGCAAGGTCTGCGTAGCACTTTCCAGAAAGGAATTCGATAGTTTCAGTGATGGTGTGACTGGCTGCTGAGTATTGCAACAACTTTCCTCAATTTCACTCCTTTTCCTTTTTGTTTATTACTTAGCTACATAGGCACCATGTCACTCAACTGGATTACTCTCAAAAACATTAGGTTTTTCCGAAATGAATAAGGAGTTTGATGTGATTAATTGCCTTGATTTTTTTAAATGAGGATTGATTTTGGAAAGGCAGATATACAGTGCAACGGCCAGGCTGCATCAGGTCAAAGCCAGGAGGCAAGTGCAGGGGCCCAAGCACTTGGGACATTTGCTGTTGCTATCCCAGGCACACAGGTAGGGAGATATATCTGAAATGGGGCAGCCAGGATTTGACCCTGCGCTGTAATGGGATTCTAACATCACAGGCAATAGCAGCTTAATGTGCTGCATCACAATGCCAGTCCCTCTCGCCTCCCCTTCCTCACAGCCTGTTGATGGGTAACGGAGTTTAGGTCAGACTCACTGTGACAGCCAGGTGCTAAGACGTGTGGGTCACTCGGATGGAAATCTCTTAGTGGACGGCTGGGACGTGGGGAAGCTGCTTCCCACTGGGACGTGAAGATGGCGCTCAGCAGGTTGCAAGATCCCATTGAACAGGGAAAGTTTGGCTGCTGGTCCCCAGTCCACTCCTTTCCTCTGTCGGGAGCTTGTTAAGCTCTTGTGCCCTTCTGAGACCTAAGAGCAAGCAATGCATTTGAGCAAACTCGCAGTGGATTCGTGTGAGCACTGGGGTCTCTGCCAGAAGCCCCTGCCCAGGGCAGGTCCTGAGGCAGTGGTATGGGTGCAGTGGGTGATGCCAAGGAACTGGGGCTGTGGGTCAGCTGCTCTGATCCCCCCGCCCCAGCAGAAAGACAAGAAAGCAGCCCCAGATGCAGTGTGAGAACAGGCAGCAGCTGGGTCAGAGCCACGTGGGTGTGCATGTGTGAGGCCAGCTGCTTTACATGTATGTGCACACACGTGCTATACACATGCACACTGATTATACAGGTGCGCTATCCATGTAATTAGTCCTGCACATGATGCAAAATATTGGACAGCTGTTTTCTCAAAGGACAGCTGATTTCCTTGTGAAATCATTCTATTCCCTGGGGAACCTATTCATTACAGGATCCTTTTATTCATCCATCCTGAAAAACAACAAAAATTAAAAGATTTTTCTTTCCCTGAAAGGCAGAGTATGAGAGAGAGGAGAGAAGGAGAGCAAGCAAGCGCCCGTTCATCGGTTCACTTCCACAGTGGCCATAACAGCTGGGACGGAGCCAGGCCGGAAGCCAGGAGCCTGGAACTCAATCCAGGTCTCCCAGGAGGGAGGCAGGAATCCTTCTCTGCTGCTCCCCAAGATGTGTATTAGCAGGAAGCCGGGCCCCAGGGCTGGGGCTGGGACCCGTCACTCTGCTGTGGTGGTAGACATTATTGCACCAATGCTGGCCCAGGGCCTATGGCACCAGCTTAGAGTCTAGCAAAGCAATGGAGGATGGTTCAAGTCCTTGGGTCCCTGCACCCATGTAGGAGACCAGAACGAAGCTCCTGGCTTCACATTCAACTCCAGCCATTGTAGCCGTTTGCAGGGTGGACCAGCAGATGGAAGATCAGTTCTTCCCTCTTCTCCCCCTTTCCTTCCCTCTCTCCTTCTATCTACAACACTGCCTTTCCATATTTTAAAAAATGGTCCTCACATTTGGATGGCCATGTAGTTCCAGGCCAATTTATTGAGAGACCGCAGAAATATGGTGGCCTTTCTCTGGGGTCAACTGGTTTCCCCACAGCAGCTGGAGATGGGATGGTATCTAGCTGCGCATTCTAGGAGCTGACCACAGGGCGGCGCCACAGGATTCCTCAGGAGTCACATGTGGCTGGCCACCCCGTCCACCTCTCCCACTTGCTCTCCCTCCTCTCCCGCCGTGACTCCCACCTGCTCTGTGGAATCCTGGCGTCTCCGGGGATTCTGTACCAAGAAGCCACAAGGCTTGCCTGTGGCTCACTTTTCTGCCCGCATTGCTCAACTTGCCGCCTTCCCTGTCGAATTTTCCAGCAAGATGTTGCTAAGTTCTTTTCTTAATTGCCTCCTGTTCTCTGTGATTCTCAAAGTGCAACGTCCTTTGTAAAAGTCTCTTTTGGGTAGAGAACAGATGTGTGCAGCTTTCCTTATCTAAGGGAAAGTTATGTCCACCCTCCCTCCCCCAGATTGATTTATTTTATCAGAAAGGCAGATTGATAGACAGAAAGCAGAAACAGAAAGATCTTCCGTCCGCTGGTTCACTCTCCAAATGGCTGCAACTACCAGAGCTGAGCCGGTGCAAAACCAGCAGCCAGGAGCTTCTTCCAGGTCTCCCCTGTGAGTGCGGGTTCTCCAGGGTCATCCCACTCCTCTGCTTTCCCAGGCCATCAACAGCGAGCTGGGTTGGAAGTGGAGCAGCCAGGACGCAAATCTGCGCCCATATGGGATGCCAGCATTTGAAGGTAGAGGATTAGCCTGTTGAACCACTGCACTGGCCCCTCCCTTTTAAAATGTTAATTCCTCGTGCACAGGTCTATGCTAATTAGCAACACTGAAGGTGGATTATCACACTGATGGTTGGGGCCACTGCCACGCTCCTGTCTAGTTCGTATTTTATTTATATATAAAAAATGATGTTTTAGAGCCCAGCCAGCCAGCCATGCTCTCTCATGTCAAGCACAAGGCCTGGGGTTTATCAAAGATTTTATTTACCTGCAGTCTGTCCTTCCTCCAGAAGCTGAAGGAAGAAAAAACAAAGCAGAAGTGGTTGAAGCAGCCAGCCGGCCGCCTGCTTCCACTGTGGGATTTTGCAATGACGGCTGGGAAGCCAGGTCAGCACTCTTGGCTGAGGGCACACGGTGCTTTTCTTCCAATGAGTAGGAAGATGGTTTGCAATTAAATATGATCAGAGCTTGCAGTTTTTTTTTTCCAACCGAACCAGCAAATGAATGACTCAGTGTAAAATGATAGAGTTCCATGAGTCATTGTTAATGGAGGGAAGCCGGGCAGCCAGGAGACACACCATGTTTGTGTATTAAAAAATAAAATCCAGTGCAACTGGAATGGCAGTCAGTGACAGTCCGGGAGGCCAGGGTGCTGGGTGTCTCAAAGGCTTTAGGGCAAAGGGACTGAGCTGGTGGTAGCCATGGTGGAGCAATTGGGCTGAGTGTTGACTCAGCTGGCATTGAAAGGCTGTAAAATCCCTCCTGGTCATTTGTAGTCCATGAGGCTTATTCTTACTTGAAAGGTAAAGTTATATAGAGAGAGAGATCAAAATTTTCCATCCTCTGATTCACTCCCCAAATGGTCGTAATGGCCAGAGCTGAGCTGATCTGAAGCCAGGTGCTTCCTCCGGGTCTCCCACGTGGGTACAGGGTCCCCAGGCTGTGGGCCATCCTCTGCTGCTTTCCCAGGCCTGTAAGCAGGGAGCTGGATTGGAGATGCAGCAGCCAGGACTTGAACCAATTCTCATTTGTTCTGCCCTTTCCTGAATGCGGGATTGTAGCGCCCACAGACCTCTGCTGCCACCTCCACAGTAAGACATGGCTTTCCACATGGACACTGTTCTCTCTCCTCTGGGAGGGGAGCCTGAGGGTGGGATCTGAATGGTTACTGCAGGTTCATTTTGGACAAAAACCACCAGAAGGCGTCAGCATTGTGGTCCATCAGGTTAGGCTACTGCCTCTGGTGTGAGCATTTATTTTTTTTTATTTTTTTAAGATGTATTCATTTTTATTACAAAGTCAAATACATAGAGAGGAGGAGAGACAGAAAGGAAGATCTTCCGTCCGATGATTCTCTCCCCAAGTGAGCTGCAACGGCTGATGCTATGCCGATCCGAAGCCGGGAACCAGGAACCTCTTCCAGGTCTCCCATGTGGGTGCAGGGTCCCAAGGCTTTGGGCCATCCTTGACTGCTTTCCCAGGCCACAAGCAGGGAGCTGGATGGGAAGTGGATTAGAAGTGGCGCCCATATGGGATCCTGGGGCGTTCAAGGTGAGGACTTTAGCCACTAGGCCACGCTGCCGGGCCCTGGTGTCAGCATTTAAAATGGGCTCTGGTTCAAGTCCCGGCTGCTCTACTTCTCATGCAGCTCCCTACTAAAGCACCTGGAAAGGCAATGGAAATTGGCCTCAAGCACTTGGGGTCCTGCCACCCATGTGGGAGAACTGGATGGAGTGTCAGGCTGCTCGCTCTGCCCTGACCCACCTCTGGCTATTGTGGCCATCTCGGACCTGAACCAGTGGATAGAAGATTCTCTTTCTTATTGCCTTTCAAAAACAAACAAACAATTCTAGAAATAAACTATCACGGAGCTTTCCAGAAAGACGAACCATCTTCCATTCGCACCAACCAAGTCTGAGCAATCCAGTTTTTCATGCTTTGATTCCTTTCAGTGCTAAACTGTGGACATTCGGCAGCTTTAAATTGTTGGCTAAAAAATGTTTTCCTTTGGAAATGCTATCCTAATTTGTTAGTGCTATCAACATTAGGAATGTGCTTGTACCTACTTAAGCAATGGAACTGTAAAGTGAATGTTCCTGAAAAAGGACCCTACAGTTTATTTTGAAACTCATAAAACAAGTGTGCCCTGTGTTGGCGTCTCCAGGAGAGGTGAGAGAGAGGGGAGACGGCTTCCCATCCCCTCTCTGTGCTACACTCATGGCTAGTTCTGAACATTCACAGACAATTAGCATTTTATTTCAGTGCAGAAATATTGAGATTCATTTTGTTATATTGTGAATGTTTCATAAACTTAAAAAAAGATGTATCTATTTGAAAGAGTTACAGAGTGAAAGGTGGAGACTGCTAGTGTCCTCCGGGCTTCCCTGCCTTCTGGTCCTGGAGCTCTCTCCCTGAGCAGGTGACACAGGACAGGAAGGGCAATGACTCTCGGTGGTAGTGACATGAATGTGTTGTGCTGTATGGTCAGCGGGTTGGGGGGAGTCCTGTTCCGTGGCCACTAGCCACTGTCTCACCTCTCTGCAAACACCTGCCAGCCTTCCCTGGGGGGCCCCGAGTGCTGCGCATGCGCCCTGGAACCGGCTGTCCGCTCTCTTTACTGCTGCCACCTTGGAAGGGCTGAGTGCCCATCTCTGACAGGTGTCCTTTTTTCTACTTAAGACACAGCAACATTTTACCTCTCTTGACAAGGAGCGTTTCACGTTGCCCATGTGCAGTGCATTGTGCTGAGGTGAGCCTGTTAATCAAGGTCCCTTTCTAAACTCTAGTCAGGTAGGAGGTGGACCCATGGAGTCACATTGTGCCACCTGCAGCTGTGAGCTTGGGGCGCTGCGGGACCCTCACTGCTCAGGCATTGCAGGGGGTGTTTCAGAAACAGCGTCTAGAGCTCAGCTCAGGCTGGGAGGTTCTTGCAGTCGGGGGTCCCCTCTGTCTCAACTATCTGCTTTCTCTTGTCCTCACGTAAGCCTCGCGTGGAGCAATCTGGGACCTCGGTGAGTTCGAGATGTCAGGGTCTTTCAGGACAGGCCTCCGTTGGTTGAGTTACTTGCTTTGTGTGTCCAGGGGTCACCCAGCAAGAGGGTGAAGGGCAAGAGCTCTGGGGGCAGGAGACTGAGTCTGTGTAGGCCGTCATGCTGCAGGCTGTGTGACTGAAGGATGCAATTAAAAAAATATATTTATTTTTATTGCAAAGTCAGACATACAGAGAGGAAGATCTTCTGTCTGATGGCTCACTCGCAAAGTGACCACAATGGCCAGAGCCACCCAATCCGAAGCCAGGAGCCAGGAGTTCTTCCGGGTCTCCCATGCAGGTGCAGGGTCCCAAGGCTTTGGGCTATCCTCAACTGCTTTCCCAGGCCACAAGCAGGGAGCTGGTTGGGAAGCAGGGCTGCCGGGGTTAGAACCGGTCCCCATATGGGATCCTGGCACGTTCAAGGCGAGGACTTTAGTTGCTAGGCTAGCATTAGCAGGGAGCTGGATGCAAAGTGGAACAGCCGGGACTCGAATCTGCTTCGATATGGAACACTGGCGCTGGGCCTCTGTCTCCAAGTTTTAAAACGTGCTTTATGTTACAACCGTGCTTTTCAGAGCTAGGATGGGCTGCTGGGGGGTGGTGATTCTCGCCTTGCTCTCTACCCACCCCTTCCTGGTTTAATACGCAGCACCCGCGTGGCTGAGAAGCTCGCTTTTCTGCCTTGGGTTGCGGGTCCCCGCTAGCTTTCTTCTCCTCTGGCCGCCCCTAGGGCTCTCCCTTGCATGGATGGGGTGCGGAGGTCAGAACCCCTAAAGTAATGGGCCGGTAATACCCAACTCCGGCCGCCAGAGGGAGCTGTGCCCGCCGTGGAGCCGGGAGACCCGGAAGCACATCGTTTCCCTTAGCCGCCCCACCCCAGGGCGCTCGGGGCGGAAGACTTCCGGCGGGGCGGCCGCTCGGGTCAGGGCGCGCGGACTGCGGGAGCCGGGGAGGCGACGGCGCGATGACCACGCTGCGGGCCTTCACCTGCGATGACCTGTTCCGCTTCAACAACATGTGAGTGAGCGCGGCCGGGGCTCCGGCGGGGCGGCGGCGATGGGCCCCGGGGGCGCCGCTGGCGACCTTGGCCCGGGGTGTCCGCTGCCCCCCAAAGGGACCGGGGCGGCGGCCGCGTCCACTTGGTGTCCGCGCCGGGTAACAGTGTTGAGCGCAGACCGGGCCGCACCTCGCAGGCAGCGGCGTTGCTTTTTCAAGGGAGATACTCGGGCAGCTTTTCTGGACAGGTGGACAGAGCTCAGCCTCTTCCCCTCACGACCCCCAGGTCCTGGCTGTCGCAGGAGACGCCTGTCCTTGACGGGCAGCGGAGCAGCAGGTGCAGAGTCGCCGAGGCGCCCGAGCGGGCCCGGCCCTGGTGTCCGAGGCCGGAGGGGCGTGCGGTCAGCGCCGGCCCAGCCAGCTGCGGGGACGGGTCAGAACGGGATCCTGCAGGGGAGAGGCCTGGGGGAAGCCCTGACCGCAGCGTGGCCCAGGTGCCGCGCGTTGACCGCTCCCGGTCCCCCCACCTGCACCTGGCCTGTGAGATGCCATTATCCCGTTCTGTGGGCGAGTAAACCCAAGGGTTCCCAGGTGGTGCAGCCCTGAGTTGGGACTGGGTGGGGAGACTCCATTATGTATTGATGTGAAATGTGGGGTCGGTAGAGAGAGGGGTCCTCCATCTGCTGGTTCACTTCCCAGATGACTACCTTGACCGTGGCTGAGAGCCAGGCTGAAACCAGGAGCCTGCAACTCCATTCAGTTCTCCCCAAGTAGCTGCAGGGGCTCCAGTACTTGGGCCAGCTGCTGCTTCTGCTGTCCCAGGTGCACCAGCTGGGAGCTGGATTAGAAGCGGAGTGGGCGGGGCTTAAACAGGTGCCCAAGTGGGATGCTGGCACTGGAGGCAGAGGTTTAACTTGCCACACCACAGTGCAGGCCGCACAATAGAAATACTCGATTCTTGTGTTGGGGTTGGGCGCTGTTAAGACATCCGAGCTCGGCAGGCTCACTGTCCAGAACAGTCAGCATCGAATCAGAGCAGTGGTGCTTCTATAAAGATCTGGTCTCTGGCAGCGTTTTGGAGCTGCCTATAGTTGGTTGTTGGAGAAGCAGTTTTGGGGGGTGTGTACCCACCTGCCCTGTGACCTCGGAGGCAGGCAGGGGAGTTCACTGGTCAGCTGCACCACCTGGGGGGCAGGAGCTGAGATGAGGGCTTGTGCACGGAAAGAGCCAGTTGAGGTTTGATGATACACATGTCATACAGGTTTGACCTGAAGATCCGGGACGGGGTGACAGTTGCAGAAGATGAATAGGGTGGAGGGAGAACGCACCTGAACACAACAGTGGGGTTTAGGATTGTTAGGCATTTTTAAGGCCCCATCATATACCCAGTGGGGATCCCCCTTCTCCTCCTGCTTCTTTGACTACGCTGTGTGGGTAGAAGATTCTGCAAGTCACTCCGGTTAGTAGGAAGTGAAAGGAGCCGTGGCCGTAGGACAGCGAGCAGCTCTTTAAGGGAGAAGACGAGTGCCAGCTGTGTGGTGTTGCTGAGACCAATGCTGGCGCCGTGGTGGGGCGGCCATTCTGGAAGGGAAACAGGTGGATGCAGCTTGTGGAACTTGGTGCTGCGCCCAGAGGACAGACAGAGCAAGCAAGGGAAGTGGGAGATTTATGCTGCGTGTTCTGGGACAGGATCATTACAGAAAAACCTAGAAGTGAGAGCGAGTCCCGTGGACCCTGGGCAGGGGAGCCCCACGTGCAGGAGGTGGCAGCGCGCTGGGCTGCAGAAGACGCCACGCGATCAGAATGATGCGTAGGCCCGAGGGGTGGCTGTCTGCCAGTGGCCTTGAGCTGCCCCAGTACAGGGGTCAGAGATGCGTGTGGGTGTGTGTATGTGGGGAGAGGGGCCTGGGTTAACACAGAAATCGGGGGAAGGCATCACCATGTGGATGAGACAGGTGACAGGTGGGTGACATTGGTGGTGGGGTGAGTGCAGGCTGAAGGGGCTCCAGGATGACAGCTGGCTCAGCCAGGCCCAGGCCGAGGAGCTGCCTGCGTGCGGCGACCACTGAGCTGAGTGAAGAGTGCCGGTGCGGGGAGTGTGTCACCAGCGCTGCTGGCTGTGTGTGCAGTGTACCTAGACGTTTCTCCCAAGGTGCAGGTGTAAGGGAGAGGTGTAGCAGGGTCCTGGGTGCTGAAGGGAGAGGAGGAGGGGCTGCAGGTGCTTGGGGCGGGGTGGGTTGGGGGGGGTGTATACTGCTTCCTTCATGCCGCAGTAGGAGGCCGCTGAATGGAGATGGGGGCCTGTGCAGGAGCAGAGGTGAGCAGAGACGATGCAAGGTGGGCACGGAGACGTGAGGGAGAGTGCAGGCCTGCGGGTTCAGGGCTCCCCAGCTGTAGGTCAGGCTCAGCACGGCTCCCCAAGGGTCTCTGTGGGCACTCTGGAGGTGACAGCCATTTTCACTGGAACACTAAGGATTTTTATTTTTTTTCTCTCACCACAATGGTATTGTTCAGATCTGTGATCACACACCACACACACACACACACACACACACACACACACACACACACACACACACACACGTGCTTGAGAATCCAGCTATCTTCCAGACCTTGCAAAATTTGTTTAAAAATTATGCCATGGGCCCGGTGCGGTGGCGCAAGTGGTTAAGGTCCTCGCCTTGCACGCCTGGGATCCCATATGGGCGCTGGTTCTGATCCTGGCAGCCCTGCTTCCCTTCCAGCTCCCTGCCTGTTGCCCGGGAAAGCAGTCGAGGACAGCCCAAAGCTTTGGGACCCTGCACCCGCGTGGGAGACCCGGAAGAGGCTCCTGGCTTCGGATCGGCATAGCATCGGCCATTGTGCTCACTTGGGGGGGTGAATCATCGGATGGAAGATCTTCCTCTCTGTCTCTCTTCTCTGTATATCCGCCTTTCCAATGAAAAAATAATAAAGATAAATCTTTAAAAAAAATTTATGCCATTGTGAACTTTCTGGAAATAACAGTGATTTTTCAGATTCATGTTGACATGTAATTACTTTTAAATATTATTTAAATATTAAAAAATATAGAACCCACATATTACTTGGGGGACATGTGTGAACTTTGCACTGAAAGTGTTGTGAAACCAGCAAGTTAGCGCTGGACTAGAGATGTGCCTGTGGCTGGCTGCGTGGCTGCAGGTCCTGGAGCAGGATTGGGCAGAGAGGGGCCCGGGGGTGGGGAGTCCTGCTGCTCCTGGGTCCCCAGATGCTGCTTCCCTGACCTGAACAGGACGGGGGATCCATCGCATCACAGCCTGGCTGGAGAGTGAGACGATACAGAGTGTAGGAGAGCGAAGGGGAGAACAAACTGGTGGGGGACCTGTAGAAGCACACGGTGACCCTAGGAGGTCAGCGAGCACAGGATGACTGTTGATAGGATAAAATCTGTATGAGAACAACTAGATGGATGCTGTGTGACTGATTAGATATCCTTTGTATGAGAACAACTGAGTGGACAGCATGCGAATGAGAACACATGGTGGAATATACAAAACAAGAGTTCCAAACAAGGGTGTGAGAATAATGGGTTTTGTTGGTTTTGTTGATAAGCTCAATACCTCCTCCCTTATCCTATTCGACCCTCTGTCTATAAAGTCTGATGCCACTAATAAATGGCACCATCAGTCAGAGTCCACGCGTGTCATTATTGGCTCCGTGCACCAATTCCTTTGCTGCTGGACAGCAACAAGTACCCACATTTCCAGTGGGTGGGAGCTGCAGCGAGCTTCTGAGACCTGCTGGGGGAAGGCTGCCTCAGTGGTCCCGAGTGCTGCTGACAATCCATTGCTGCTTAGACGCCAGAATGTTCTGCTGCAGGCGTGTTAGCTGTAGATGTGCAGTTAGATGGAGAGTCCAGCCAGCTCTGTAACTGCTGTCACAGCTCACTGTGGCCACTGGCAGCTGGGTTTTCCTCACCCCAAAGGTGGTTTTAAAGTCGTAGGCTAAGCACTTTCCTCTTGTGGTATATCATTTTAAGTTCACATTCAGACTGTTTTTTGTAAACTTTACTTACTATTAACGTTTTTGTTTTTTCTTTTAGTAACTTGGATCCACTTACAGAAACTGTATCCTTTTCTAAAAACAATTTACTAAGTAAATAAATGGAGAAACAAAAGGGAAAAAACAAAGACTTGGAGCTGGGAAATGTGATCAACATTGTAAGGAATGAAAACAAAGGAGCAACTGAGGACAGAAGTTGTCTTAAATCTGCCTGACACTGTTGATGGAATAATCCCGCATGGGTCCTGGCGTGCCAGCCCTGCCCCCTTGGGGATTCGCATGGCTGGACAGGACACAGAGCTGCCCAGGGCCCGAGGGCATTCCATGAAGTCACCAGCAGCTGGTGCCAGTCCAGGGCGGCCCTGAGCCTCCTGACCCAGGCTGCCAGCGTCACGCCCGTGTGGGTGATGGCTGGATCAGCAGGGGAGACGGAGTGGCCCACTCTCTTACCCGTGCTGTTGGGAAACAGTGTGGGATCCTCCTGGTTCTCCTGACCAGCTTTTGTCTGGTGCCCCACCTACCTCGTCTTATCTGGAGTAAAGATTTGGGGTAACAGTTACCTGTCATTATCTGAAAATAGGCAAAGATGTGTACAGTGGGTTGTGCTACCATAACAGGCATGTTTAATATCTTCAGTGGCTTAAACAGTGTTAGGGCTGCTGTCGTGATGCAGTGGGGAAAGCCACCACCTGCACTGCCAAAATCCCACAGGGGTGCCCCCTCCTTGTGGCCCCATTTCTGCTCCAGCTCCCAAGTGTGTGGGCCCCTGCCACCCATCTGGAGACCTGGAGGAAGCTCCTGGCTGTTGGAGCTGTCTAGGGAGCGAACCAGCAGGTAGGAGAGCTTTATCTGTGTAACTCTTTCAAATAGATAAAGCTCTAAAAAAAAAGGGGTGTGGGGTGGGTACTACACAGCGTTGGATTTCTGAGTTATGTTCCATGTCCTTTGCAGGAGGGTTCTTGTAAAACCAAAGGCATAGAGGAGCCTAGTGAATTCCAGTATGTCCTGTCTCATCAGTCAAGACGTGAATTTAAACCAAAATGAAATGCCATATTTAACCTGTTACCCAGAGTTAAGGAACAAAATGACCAAATTCCCTGCTGCTGATGGTGAAGTGAGACAGGATTGTCATAAGGTGCTAGGAAGGTCCCACACTGCGCAGCCTCCTGAAGGCCCTGGGGACTGTAGTGCCGGCACTTTTCCCTGGAAGCTGAAATAAGACAGTCAGTGTCAGGGTGAGAAATGTGGCCTCCTGCCCGTTTCTGTAAGATTTTATTGGGATACCTCCTGCTGGTTAGCTTATATGCTGTCAGTTGTTTTCACACCTTTGAGTAGTTGCGGTAAACCCCATCTGTTTCTCAAAGCGGAGCTATTTCCCATCTAGCCCCTTACACAGAAAGCTTGTCAACCCCCGAGCTACATCATCACAAAAGTTGATAATTGCAGGGGAGTTACAATATCGGAAGTTATAGAGCAACATTTACACACAACAGGGAATAGTGAAATCAGCTTTACTTGTGAAAGCCTAAGTTTCTTGAGCAAGTGGAAATAGTCCAGACACTCGGCTCAAGACGTAAACTGTCTCAGCAGGCAAGAGAGTGCTATGTAGTGGAGATTCAGTACAGAGAGCTAGGGAGCGACTGCTTAGTAAAAGTCAAGTGGAAAAGCAGAGGTCTCCATTTGTACTTTTATAATTATGACCAATTGCTGATATTTCTGTGTAAAGTTTTTTGTTTTTAAAACATTTATTGGAAAGGCAGAGGAGGGAAAGAGACCTGTACCTGCTGGTTCACTCACCAAGTGTCCACAGTTACCAGCCTGGTCCAGGTCAAACGCACGAGCTCCCTCTGGGTCTCGTCCGTGCGCGCAGGGCCCCGGGACTGCACCATCCTGCGTTGTCTGCCTGGGTGCATTAGCAAGGAGCCAGATTGAAATTAGAGCAGGCTTCACTCGAACCATTGCCAACATGGGATGCTGCTCAGCAGACAGCAGCTTATTGGCACATGCCATAGTGTTACCGCAGGGGTTTGCAGATTTGATAACGTCCCAGGATCCAGGAGAGCCCATATTTGGAAATGACCTGGTAATTAGGCAGAGGGAGGTATGTGTCATGTTTGAGTGACAGAATGGCAGCTGGCCACATTAGGGTTATGTTCAAGGAATTCTGAAAAATCAACTGTCAGCGGATTTAAAAATATTAACACAAATCAGGTTTTGCAGGAACAAGTTTTTAAACATGCCCGGGCCCAGCAGCGTGGCCTAGCAGCTAAAGTCCTTGCCTTGAACGTACTGGGATCCCATATGGGCGCCGGTTCTAGTCCTGGCAGCTCCACTTCCCATCCAGCTCGCTGCTTGTGGCCTGGGAAAGCAGTTGAGGACGGCCCAAAGCCTTGGGACCCTGCACCCATGTAGGATACCCGGAAGAGGCTCCTGGCTTCGGATTGGCTCAGCTCCAGCCGTTGCAGCCACCTGGGGAGTGAATCATCAGACGGAAGATCTTCCTGTCTCTCCTCCTCTCTGTATATCTGGCTTTCCAATAAATAAATAAATCTTTAAAAAAAACAAAACAAAACAAAACATGCCCAATAGTCTCCTTAGAAACTTGCATCAGAAATCTTAGACTAGGAAGAAACACTGGCATGAGTACATGGAAGGACACTCTAAGACTGCGGAGTAGGTAATGAGCGAAATCAGGCATTTAAACGTGACAAAATTCCTTTTTTCAGCTTTATCTGTGTTTCTAGAAATAGTGAATTTCAATCATGGACAGGAAAAACTGAGTCATTGAGTTGCCTCTAGGAAGACTTCAACTGTGAAGTTGGAGAGAGCGCTCTTCCACTGGTTCATGCCCCAAGTGTCCACACCAAGTGAGGCTGGGCGACGCAGAAACCAGGAGCTGGGAACCCCAGGCTGGGCCTCCCACAAAAGGAGCCGTTCAGGTGCACTTTAGCAGGAGATGGGCACTGGTAATGGAGCCAGGATGTAATACAGTTGAATCTCAGGTCCAAACTGCTGTGTGGCTGCCCAGTCCCGGTGAGCCTGGAACATGCCATCCACAGGCATTGGGAGGTCCTGTGTCCACCCGCACGTAAGTGGTTTGGCTACAGCGTGAGTGGGCGGGGCCTCCCATCAGATAGTCCTGGTCTGTACTGGGCCTTGTGTCTACGTGACTTGGTTAAAAGCTCTGGCTAACAAATATTGCATATGGATAAAGCAACAATGTCCTCTCTATGGGAAAGTTGTTTCAAAATATTTCTATGATGAGGAACTTTTTGCTGCCTGTATTTCACTCCTTAACAGGATTCTAGTATGGGATTCCTTTCTACCTGCAGTACCTGGCCCACTGGCCAGAGTATTTCATCGTTGCAGAGGCACCTGGAGGAGAGTTAATGGGTTACAGTAAGTGTCGTGCCATCGATAATTTCTGGTGGGTGGTTTTAAGATTTTTAAGGTTTGTTAAGGAGTCTTTATTAACCAAGCTTGGTGATAGGTTTAAGATATTAATATAGGTTTCCGTCTGAGTGTTTAGACTGCAGAACTGGATAATCCGAATGTCTCATTTTTGTTATTCAGCTTTAGTTGCAGGCACAGGCTATGTCATGGAACCAAAACCTAGGTCTTGCTGTTTTCGACCATTCTGTGTCAGAATGACTACCTGGTGTATTTGGTACATGGTGAGGGAATGATACCTTCACTGAATTAGCCTTGCCAACAACTTGAACCATAAACGAACTCAGTTATCTATTTGCAAACACACATCCCAAGTGACGTGCAGTGTGTGCTCTGGGTTTATTAAAATTTTTTTGATTATTTTTCTAAACCTTAACTGATTCTAGCACTGATACGTAGCAGTTCACCTGCATGTAAATAAAAGCATTACCCTGACTGGATGGCCTAGGTGCTGACAGTTCAGACTTTTTTAAGTATAAAGGTAACTAAAACAGTAGTTCTGCATGTTGGGGTTCATCAGTGTAACTACTGAATGTCTTTCTTTTGGCAGTTATGGGTAAAGCGGAAGGCTCAGTGGCTAGGGAAGAGTGGCACGGACATGTCACAGCTCTGTCTGTTGCCCCAGAATTTCGACGCCTTGGGTTGGCTGCTAAACTCATGGAGCTACTAGAAGAGATTTCGGAAAGGTAAGATAGCGTTCATTTTTATAAAAAGACGTAATGATTGTGAACCCTGACCCTTTGGGATTTTGTGGTGGACAGGTACATTTCTTCTCTTGAGGCTGACCAGCTGTCATGTGTAGCAGTGGACAGGAACTCCATCTGCAGCCTTCCTGACGCACAGTTCTCAGGATGGGGCTGCTCGGGCCCCAGATGGGGAATGGTGGCATTACCCAGTAGCTGTTAGGGTTTTGCCATCACAGATCACCCATTTTCAATGACTGCAACTGTCAGAAGTCCAGCTTCATAAAAATATTCTCATGAAATGTAACATATGTTGAACTACTTTAGTTTTTAAATATCTGTTTTCCCTAAACATTTAAAATAGTTGGCAGTACCTCAGTGTAGGGTAGGAACTGTGACTTTCATGGCACAGCGTGAGTGGAAGGGTGTACAGGGTTTAAAACAGAGGCTTCTCCCATCTGTCATTCGGAAGTGACAGATAAGGGAAGGGCACCAGTTGGACCAGTTGTCTATTTCTCTATCGTAGTGGAAGAGAGAAAATGGCTCTTAGGGGCTAAGTTTCCAAGTAGTATCATCTGTGAGCCAAGTTACAGGTAAAAGAGAAGCTCATGAGGTAGTGTTTGCTTCAGAGTAAGGAGGGGAAGTGGATTCCTAGTAAGGTGCACATTTATTAGTGACATACTTCATTGAAAATAGGTTCTAACCATCTGTGACCATGCACTGTGAGTAGAAAACCAGGACACTCTCGTCCCTTTTTTTTTAAAAAGACTTATTTATTGTGAAAGTCAGATATACAGAGAGGAGGAGACACAAGGAGAGAGATCTTCCGTCCAATGATTCACTCCCCAAGTGATGCTATGCCGATCCGAAGCCAGCAGCCAGGAACTTCTTCCGGGTATCCTACATGGGTGCAGGGTCCCAAAGCTTTGGGCCGTCCTCGACTGCTTTCCCAGGCCACAAGCCGGGAGCTGGAAGGGAAGTGGAACTGCCGGGATTAGAACCGGCACCCATATGGGATCCTGGGGTGTTCAAGGCGAGGACTTTAGCCGCTAGGCCACGCTGCCGGGCCTGTCCCTTTTCATTTCTAAAGGTCTTTTAGGATGATTTGTTAGATATACTTTTATACAAACACTGCACACTTAAGTATCTGCATTACTATTAAAGTGATGTATAATTTCCAAAGTGGAGGAGAAAATGAATGATAAAGATCAAGACAACCAAGGAAATTTTAAATTGGAGAAACAAAAAGCATGTGCTCTGCCGATGGTGGGCAGTGTCAGCAGTCACAGCAGCATGCTGGCGATGCTGGTTACAGACCGAGAGCTGGACTAGTATGTACAGGAAAGAAGAATCAAAGTTTGGTCATAACTTACATTTGTAACTTTTAAAATTTACACAGTTGCATTAAACATTTATGTTATAGTTGGGTGATTGTTACCGGAGTAAAAAAAGGATCCCTGCGTGTGCCCATCAGATGGATTTAAAAATAAACATAACAAAAACTAACAAGATTAGACAAATCATTCTCAAGGGAGATCTCACTTCAGAAGTGAGCTAGTAAATTACTACGCATTAGGGAAAAAGCACACCTGATTTCCAAGTTTTGTTTTTTTTACATTTTTCTGTTATATTTTTCAAGGACTCCGAGTATCCCTGTGTTAAGGCTTTGTAGGCCATCTAAGGCCTGTGTCGCGTAGCAGCCTTTGAGAATTACAGAAACGGGTCTTAGCTTGAGGCAGTGCAGAGGCAGGCTGCAAGCCCATCCTTGTCTTAAAAAACTAAACCAGAGAAATCAAACGTTTGATTTACTATTAGGTAAAGTTACTAGGTAAAGTTAATATAAAGAGTAATTTATTTCCGTATACAAATAGTAAATTTAGAAAAATGCTGTTTGTAATGGTACTAAAAAGATATGTGGTTAAGAAATGTCTAATATAAGCAGTGTGACCTCCATTAGAGATGTACAAAAATTTTAAGTGGCTTGCCTAATCTGAAGAAATATTACAAAGTTGGTCAGCAGATTCAATGTAGTAGTCAAAGTTTTTTTGGTTAAACACAGACAAAGGCAGGCAAGAAAGGGTAAGGTATTCAACAACCATTTCCCCTCCAGGACATAATCGAGACTATACTGGGTTAATTACAGTGGTCTACACTGGTGGGAGGATCCTGTAAGGACAGACTTCAGGTGAAGGGGGTGGGAGCGGACTCCTTACCACACCCAAGTCCGGTCCAGATTATTACAAACCTAGACACAGCAGCAAAACTAAAAAGCCCTTTGAGTGTGACGTAAGAAGAGCATTTCTATAACTTGATGGTGGAAACCGTGTTAATCATTGCAATGTTGGGGAACTATTGATGGGGACGAAACTAGACATGGGCAATGCCATCACATAGAACAGGCTTGGCTGTGCCCTGCAGGTTGGCAGCCACACCCGCCCTGTGCACAGCAGGGACCCCTACCTGTAGCCTTCAGACACTACACCACAGGTACTCAGCACCAGAGCGTAGGAATGACGTGGACAGCTTCAACAGTGGGATGCTCAACAACGTGGCAAAGTGCTAATCATACACACAGCTGATGTTCACAATACTGAGAAAAGTTGTGTTTACATGAGAAACTAAATTCTGATAGGTAAACTACTGCAAGGTGGTCATGGTCTTGGGACCCGGAGGGTGACAGCCACCAGGACACTGACTTCATAGTCTCATTTGTACTTACCAGTGAACCTAGTATGCTGTGAGTGATCTGGAAGATGAGAACATAGGCTACTAAGAAATAAAATACTTTGTTAAAAAGCCAGGTAACAGAAATATTTTTTAAGATGTTCTTTTTATAAAAACATGTTTATAAAACGTAACACTGGCTTGCTAAAACAGTCATCATTCCTTTTCTTTTTTCCCTTAAGAAAGGGTGGATTTTTTGTAGATCTCTTCGTAAGAGTGTCTAACCAAGTTGCAGTCAACATGTATAAGCAGCTGGGCTACAGCGTATACAGGACGGTCATAGAGTACTACTCAGCCAGCAACGGGGAACCCGATGAGGATGCCTACGGTAAGCCCCTTGGCTGGTGGATGCCCTAACAGGACACCCAAAGGGCTACAGCCAGCCTCTCAGCTGAAATGCTCATTTGTTTTAATATCTGATCTTAATGTCTAGCCTACCTTTGTGAGGTATGCTGAATACTGGGGGTTTGGTTAGTGATAGTCTTGCAGTTGGGAGTCTTACAAATCTTTCAGAATCTGATCAAAGTAGGCGATGGAGGGACCAGGCCTTCTGGGAATGTCAGGTTTGATGCCTGGCTGCTGACATGACTCGTTTGCCTCCTGACAGACATGAGGAAAGCGCTCTCCAGGGACACAGAGAAGAAGTCCATCATCCCCTTACCGCATCCCGTGCGGCCTGAGGACATTGAATAGCCCTGGGCAGTGGTTCTTGGGCAGACGCTGCACTGCACCGCTTACGGACAGTAAGGTCTTCACCGGCTCATCCTGGAGCTCGATTAGGAGAGATGTAATCCTCAAGGTCTTAAAGATGTGAAAAAAATACAGTTGTACTTACTTCAACTATCATTCTTTCCGGTTAGCAATATCCTACCTGTTAAAGCTGTTCACTGGCAGATCCACTCAAGGGCAGCGCAGTCAGACCATTCCGCTCCGTTCATCACATACTGTGTGCTAGGGAAGGACTTGCTCCACTCTCCCAATGCAGGGCCCGAGAACCACTGCTGCATATATAAATTTTTTATTTTGTACTGAATTGTTAATTGAAGCTTTAAAGGCCTATATGAAATGTATAAATCTAAGATGTATAATAAAATACATACATTGTTGGTTCTGTGAATGTTTTCTCAAAGTTTATGAAAGGTCACCATTTAGCATACATGGTTTACATTTTTGATTCAACTTTTTATGATGTACTAGTTTGCCTAGATGCCCGCATAGTGTGAGCCTGACGTCAGCAATCGGGGATCTGAAGCAGGCCACCTGAGCCACTCCGTGCTACCTCCCAGAATCTGCAGTCCTGGGAAAAGCGAGGCTAGGGCAGCTGGATCCAGAGGTGGGCCCCTCTAACTACACCAAAAGCCACTCCAGAAAACATCCTGACGCAGCCTGGAGACCATCCCTGCCCAGCACACCTACGCTTCCCACTGCAGTGAATTCCTCCCAGTTAATGAAGATTAAAACAGGAAAAAGAAATTCCTGAAGGAAGGCCATGTAGCTTGATCAGTGGCCAGCCATGCATTTTCACATGTAGTGTGAAACCTGGAAATAACCAATTAATAGCAAACTAAACAAGAGAAGTGATTATTAAAAAAGCATTTACTTGTCAAGGGACTGACTTCTGGCAGAGCTGAGGGTGAATGAGAGAAGTGTTCTTCCATGGAATAATTTTCCCTCCAGATATTTCACATGCACTATTCGTTACGACTTTAGAATACAAAAGACCATGGCCATTCCTGTCTATCTTACCTCTCGACTGAAGACTTAGCCACCGGCGAGGGGAATCACATTCCCTCAGCACGCCAGAGCCAGAAACAATCCGGCATCTCGGGGGCTGACACTGTCCAGTCACACTGAACAAATGAAACAAAAATGCTTACACAATGCAGGCTGGGTTACAGGAAACTTCTCAGGTTAATGTTGGCAAACATCATTCAATGAGCAGTTAACTTCAAGAGCCTTTATGTTTGCTCTAAACCCAGGGTAAGTTCAGTGTTCAGGAAATGCTGAAGCACACTGTAAGAAACTACTTTGATATTTTTTTAAAAAGCCCTACATTACTGGCCTTTAAGAAGGTAGGTGCATCCAGAAATTAAGTATATTCAGTTCAAAAAGTGAGCATATTTAAGAAAAGTGGTTCAGACCTCCTAGTGAGGCTTTTTAGGAGGCTCCCAGTTGGTTCACTGTGCTCAGCCCTGATCTTGAGGAAGTCACAGACGTGATCTGAGCTGAGAGCATGTGCTGCAGGACCGGGCCTCCGTCACTGACACCCAAGTCAGAGCATGTGCAGAGGCACGACTTGGGCCTCCAGTGCCTCTTCAAAGCATGAAAAGGTGGCAGGTTTTATAGCACACACCTTGGTCTGTGGACACACTAATGCAGACATGGACAGCTGAACCTCACAGAATTTCTGACCTCTGGTACAAGGAAGGTGAAAACTTCTCAGAACAATAACCAAGGAAGTTCAAGTAACAGCCTTGAGTCACTCTCCCCCTCCCTCGTCAGGGTTGCCAAGGGTCAGCAAATGACCATCCCTAGCCTGGTGAAGTGACAGAAGGAGTGGGGGACCGCCTACCCCTGCCCCAACAGACACAGGGAAAACATTTCCCCCATCTTTGCCACCAACCCAACCCTCTCCATTGTAACTGGAGGTTTACATAGGTCTGTGACATCCTCCTGCTTTGTAATATTAGAACTGAAAAGCAAGCAGCTCAGAACATTTCGTCAACCACTTACTGTGCGCCAGGACATACATTCCTAATGTTCCCAATCAGCTGTCCAAGCATCAGTCCATCCTACGACTGAGGAACCTGAGAGGTTAGCATCACTGACATCTGTGGGGCTTAGCAGACAGGGCATGATGAATGCATGAAATACATTTATGATGACACACACAAGAAAACAGAAAAATTACCACAGAATCTAATCCAAAAACAAACAGGTCCACCTAAAACAGGTGAATTTCATTTCCTAAAGCATGACATGGAAACATCAGAAAAGCTTGTGCTTGGTTATTTAAAGAAACCTAGCCATTAAATTCCTTTACTTGCCAAAATCTTTACTTTTTCACTCGAGCTGATTTTAAAAATCATTCAAAAAGTAGCCGTCAAGTTTCCAATCCATTCATTGCTGGTAAGCCCAGTAAAAAAACTTCTGGAAGTAACAACAGTTCCAAACTATTAATTTATAAAAATAATAAAACATTTATCAATATGAAAAAAAGGTCAGGGGTCACTCTCATCAACATCCTTATCAGGGTCCTGCTCAGCAGCTTCCTTCTCCTGCTGCTGTTTCTTCCAAAGCTTGGCCATGGCCAGCAGCTTGAGGTTGGGTTGGTTGGCAGCATCTTCTGGAAAGATGTAATCGTAGTATTCTTCCCAGCCTGCATCAGACTGCAGAAATAAAACAATAGGATAAGCAAGCCAGGGCTGAAACACTGCATTCCAGTTCAAGTGGAGGATCTTACTGGGGAACCCACACTCTGAACTCAGCTTATCTTCATTTACAAGACATCAAAAGGAACCCCAGGGAAGAAAATGCTTTAACAAAATCTACACACATCTCTCCACAGTCAGTTAAAGATACTCAGTCTCATTTTTATCTCATGGACTTAAGGCACATATAATGTTTATCTAGCAGTGATAGCCACAAAATCTGTGATTATTCTGGCTCCTGCCCTCACACCCACCCTGACTTGCAAATGACCCCTGAATTCATTTCTCAGATACTGTTACCAGGTCCGCTTTAGTGCCAGCTTGCACCATTCACTTGTCCAGCTTTGCAAAGCACTCTCTTGGCAGGCCTTCCTTCAGCCCGAGTCCCTCAAACCAATTTGTCTGTGATGCCAATAACCTGGTCATTTTGTTTCAGGCACAAAAGCCATCACTGCCTGCTACCAAATCTCTACCTACAGCTTTAAAGGTATCTCTGAATTAGCGCCCATCTGAAGGCATCACTGCCCACCATAAGCCCTCCCACTAACGCTCTGGTTCGTAGGCTCCACCATCTCCAAGCATTCTTCCATTCTCCACCCAAAGCTGGCCCATGCACCCTGCCCTGGCTGTCTGCTTTTGTCTGCCAACTGGTCACATGCCACTTCAAAGGATCAATCTCAAAAGACAACGTGTCTACTTGTTTGCCTAGTTCCAAAGGCTCTTACCCCATCATCAGTCTGGACCTTTCTTCTCTTCTTGACCTTCTCTGGCATGAGTTTGTCTACTCTTTCCTTATCTGCTACGGTTCCAAATTCATCCTCAAACTTCCGCCAGGAGTCCAGCAGCATTAGTCTCTCTTCTTTTTCTTCACAATTCCGCATGGTCTTGTTAGCCTCTTCATAAATTTGTCTGCATTTAGCCAAACTTCCTTCTTTTCCTGAAGACAACTCAAACTGAGCAAAACTGATCCATACCTTTAAATAAATACATGGAGCTGAATTAAATACACTAGTGGTACAATGTGCTAATACCACTAAAATGAATTTCTGGTTCAAGGTATCTAAGCTTTTCGTCTCCAATGTTCCACAGAATATGAAATTGAAAACACATTCAACATAAAATATTAAAGCAGTCTGCTTCTAGCATGTAGTCAGGTGTCTGACCTGATCTTAAAATCCTGAACAGCTTAACTTTTTCCAATCCTGTGATATCCGAGTGATTTACACACAGTGAACACAGTGTTTGCTTCGCATTACAAAGTCTTCTGTAATGGACTTTCTTGAAAAGCAAAAATATCATTTGAAACAAAAACAAACAAAAAAACAAAAACGACTAAGGGCTCAAGCAAAAATCAGAGCTCATTCTGGAAATCACATACCTTGACATGCTGTGTCCTCTGAAGCAGCTGTCGGTAAAGATTTCGTGTTCTTTCAGTTTCTTCCTGCTCAATTTCAAAATCAATATATGACTTCCACAGCACCTAAGAAACAGGACAGGTCAGTCTTGTCACCTGCAGGGAAATATGCCCCCATCCAATAAACAGCGTAATCACCATCCTACCCGACACCTATGAACATTCAACTCTTAATAAACAATTGACATACCACATATAAATCCAGGTATTTATATGTTGGCTAGAAGTCCACTTTATAGGAAAAAAGGCCCTGGAATCAGTTTCAGAATTTCTTTGCGAGTTTTTCAAATGTGCAACTTATCAAGAGAGCTGAGCCCAGAGTCTCCAGGCAGTCCCATGACCTGCCACAGGCAACTGAACAGCGAAGAAAAGGGCTAGTTTCCACAATATAAAAGCATTTGCAGAACAGCTGCCCATCTTCTAGGTGTAACCTGTCAGGGCCTAAAAATCAGTAAGCCAGGGCCTGGGCACCTGGCAGCTGTTTGCAGGGTGGTGGGGGAAGCAGAGTCAACACATGGAACTGGCAATAGAGAAAACCCTGTACTAATGCAGTGAGAGTGGCCCAGGCCATTAAACACAGTCATGGGTCATTTCTACCCATCAAGTATAAAAAGCCAGAGTAAGTTCTGCGACATTCAAACCAGTCCTTGATGTGGTTTGGTGCCACCTTGTGACTTAAGCTCTATTGCTAAAGGCAGGTCAGGACTTCAACTTGTACAAGCTGATCTAAGTGGAGCCTCTTGTTGGTAAAAGTACCAGGAGAACCCCCACCTCCACCTGTATTATCCTCCATGGAGAGCTGCTGGCTGGGGCTTCCTTGTTTAGCCTTCTCTCTCCCATTGTAGCCATCCAAGATTGAGAATGGGAGGAAGAGCGCAAATCCCCCAGCCTACTATATCCCAGTGTTCTTGGCTGCTGCTGCACTCCAGTACCTCACCACAGGGCTACCCCACAGTTGTCTCAGCCTTTCTACCCTACAAACACAGATCCTGAGCAGAACTCAGGTTAGTTAGGTCATCTTTTATTCTATAATGTGTGTTCATTCAGAGTAACTCTGGAGGAGTGCTGTGAGCAACTCCAAGTGGGATCCTCACCTCTGGCATATCCAAGCGTGGCTGGCTGATGGCTAATTCGTAGATTGCCCGGGCTCTGTCGATATCACCAAGAATTGTCTCTAATTCTGCAAATTTAATCCAGGAAGTACAATTTTCTGGTCCAAATTCCAGAAACTTTTCGTAAAGCTTCCGGCATCTGTCAAATTCTCGAAGCTGC